CGGCGGGACCGCCCGGCTGGCGGCCGAGCCGGCCGGGCGCCGCCAGCAGACAGACGCACTCAGCTCGCAGTGTGGCCAACTCGGAGGAGACCTCTGACGCGGACAGTGACGGTGCCGCCAGCGCGCCGGCCGGCCGCGCGCCGCTGCCCTCCGACAGCGGCGTCGCGTCGGCCGCCTCCTCAAACTCGGCATCATCGTCTGCGTCGTCTGCTTCCTCGATCTCGTCCTCGTCGCCGGGATTTTCGGCGTCCTCCTCGGCGGCAGCCTCCTGGGCCGACGTGGCCAAACCGAAGCCCGCCGATGCCGCCGCCCAGACAGACTTTATTGACGGTGTGGGCGCCATTTTTGGTGACCGGCCGCCGGCGCATGCTGCCCTGCTGCGCGGCGGGGCGGAGCCGCTCGACTCCCGGGTCGGTAGCGCGCGGCGAGAGGAGTTTCCGGCCATTGCGGCGGCGCCGGTCGCGCCTACGGCAGCTGTGGTGGCCCCCGCGTCCTCCCCCGCGCCGGCGCCGGCCGCCGCTACTGTCACGCCGTCTGAGTCCCGTGTATCAACGGCGAGCTCGCCCGCGGCGCCGGCGGTGTCCGAACCAACCAGTGCACAGACTGTGGTAGTGGCTGCCAGGGTGAACGGGGTCACCCCGTCGGCGGCGGCGGCAGCAGCGGCGGCGGTGACACGGACCAAGCGCTCGCCGGTGGTGGAGATACCCGCCGCGGTGCTGTCCGGGAACGGTGCCGCCGGGCCGGCGAGCATACAGAAGGTGGCCGACATTCAGTTCGGCTACATTGACACTCCCTGTGCCGAGGCCGAGCCTGAGGCCGCCTCCTCACCAGCTGAGGTCGAGGCGCCGGCCGCCGCCCCGGTGCCGTCTCAGACCGAGCAGGAGCCCGAGTCCAAGGCAGCGCCGCCTGGTGTGGACGGCTTCTGTCGAAGGTTCCGCGCCCAGCCGGTAGATGTCTCTCAGTTCAACTGGAAGGAAGTCAGTGTGTTCCTCTCTAAAGGTGAGTGGTTGTACCTACGTGCCCTATCAAACGTGTCTGGTTTGGTTGCAGGCCGTTACGTGTTTGGGTGATGTTTTTGATCGCAAATGACAGCTTGATTTGGGCACGTAGGGCTCGTGTGCTGTTATGTAATCGGAGCCGAAACCGGTGCAACTGCATATTTGCTTCGCTTGCAGAGCGTATCGGGGGTATTCACGTAACATTCCGAGCGGTATTGCACGCTGCTTTTGGTTATCGTTGTTCATCGGTATTGCTAGTAGTAAATCCTGTGTTTCGTGAACTCAATTATATTTGTGTGGGCAGATTGTGATGACGAATTGAGCTGTCCGTAACTTGTCTAGTAGTTCACGTAAGTTCGCTGCCAGTTATCATCAGAGCACTGACGCTGTGAAACATTACCAACGGCGCGCCCCTAACCCCCAACAAACAAACAAACATTACCAAAGTTTCACCATACCTGTGCACTTGAACTGGCCAAATAGTCTAGTTGCGCCGCTAAGCGTCGTAAATAGTTAACGGTATAATTATTTGATATATCAGACATAAGTTATCCGACAAACCAGGTCAGTTTTAATGTTGTTTTTTTCATTTTATGGAAAAATTAACAGCTTTTAGGCAGCATATTGTTATATCCATATCAATCTGTCTTTTGGATCCAGTTTGTACCTGGCCTCACATATCACTGAAATCGTCGAACCTAAAAATAACAATAAAAACGCTCTTGAGATTGATGATGTTCAAGTGGTTTGTCATTTGGGCGTACAGTAATGTAAATTGTTACATACCGTAGTTACATTTCAACTTACAATTACCTTTCACATGCACCATAGCGCAGTGAACCGCGGAGTCGTCTCCCCTGTCGTGATTATCGGGTCACGGTGATGTGCGGGGCGTCACGGTTTCATTGCGTCTGTTTTTGGAGCGTCGCCTCTCGCTCATTAAATTATTATTAACTGTGCCGTTTGTGGCTGTTTGAGCTGCGGCGTGTTACGGGAGAGGAGTTTTACCGATGAGGTGATAGGTTCCCGGGCTGAACTTACCGCTTGGCTGTTCGGCGTATCTGCCCTGCCACACTTCACTGTGGCGTTATGCTTTCTTGTGCGGTTTGTTCTTGCTCTCACCAACTGTCACTGTTAACGCCTGTCACCACCCATCGTTACACTGATGAATGCTCACTCATTATTGCTCAGTCAAGTCGTGTTACTGGGTACTGAGTTTAGTTTCTCCGGTCATTACGATCATTGTCTCCTCGTTGTGTTGCAGTACTCTAGCCCCGTTGTGCTTCAGACTAGTATGACTATCACCTTTCCACGTCGTGTTGCGGACTGCAGTGACTTCCTCCCTTTGTCTCTGCCATGTTCCAGTGTACGCGGAGGCTTTGAGGGTGACTAACGTCCTTCCCCAGAGCAGTGATCTGACCCCTCCCCTCTCTTTGCCATGTTCCAGTGTACGCCGAGGCTGTGAGGGTGTCTAAACCTGTCCCTTGATCAGTGATCTGACCACCCCCTCTATCGTGTTCCAGTGTACGCCGAGGCTGTGAGGGTGACCGGCGCGCCGTCCTCGGAGCCGCAGCGTGCCCAGCGACTGTGATGTGGCCGCCGGGCCGCCCCGGTCGGCCGGCGCCCACCGCTGTGATCCCAGACTGTGTGGCCGGCGCCCGGTCCCTGCCGGGGTGTGACCGAGCCCCTCCGGCCGGCGGAGAGGTGTGTGTTGTTGGATGGTGGTCAGCCGACCGCCCGAGTTGTTATCGTTGGTGTGGAGAGGACTGAGAGGATGGAGGCGCGGCCCGGTGACTGACTGCGACTGCGGACGTTCTGTGATACTCTGCGCGGCCGTGCGGCGCGCCTCAGACTGAGTGTGAGCGGCGTGAGTTCGGACAGCCGCCGGCGCGCCCGGCCGCCCCCGCCGAGTGAGACGTCTGTCAGTGGTGCGCGCTCAGTGAGTTGTGAGTTACGTGGGTGGGAGTGTGGCACGAGGTCTGTCAGTGGTGAGCGCTCGATGAGTTGTGTGAGAGTTGTCCGTGAGCCGCGGCTGTGCCGTGTTCGGTGGCTGGCCGCTGTCGGCGCCGGGCAGAGCTTGTCTCCGCCCCCCGGCCGGTCGGCCCCGACGGCCTCCGCCCGCTGTTCGCTGTGCCGCCCCCGCCCCCGCCCCCGCCCCCGCCCCCGCCCCCGCCCCTGCTCAGGGCGCTGTCGAGTCACCGGTTGTGAAGTTCTGGGCGGCCTCAGCAGGTCGCCCTGCGCTGGCCACGGCCGGTGCCGCCGGACCGTGGCCCCCCACTCAGCCCCATCGAACTGCGCTGCGCCTGGAGCTGCGCCTCCTGAGCTGTGTCTACGGAACTGCGCCTCTGGAGCTGCGCCTCTGGAGCTGCGCCTCCTGAGCTGCGCCTGGAGCTGCGCCTCCTGAGCTGTGTCTACGGAGCTGCGCCTCCTGAGCTCTGTCTCTGGAGCTGCGCCTCTGGAGCTGCGCCTCTGGAGTTGCGCCTCTGGAGCTGCGTCTCCGGGACTGTCTCCAACGTCAATACATGATTGCATAATGAAACGTGTATCTATTGTCCGTAGCGGCTCATGAACAATACCAGGAGTGCCGGGACGGTGTGAACAGAACTGCATTATTATAGAGAGGTGTTCATCTTCCAGTCGAGAAAAGTGATTGGTAGGTTCAAGCTGGCCTTGTGTGTCAGCTAAAAAACGTAAATATCTCTGTAGCTACTTGCTCATAATTGCCTTGGCTACAGAGGGACAATAAAAGCTCACGCTTTGATCTCAAAGCGATTCACCTAATGTGACATTACCACCAGAGGGCACTGCTCAAAGCCGTGCCTGCCTTTCCCCCATCGCCCGCAGTCGAAAAATTGCCAGATCTGGTGCCAGTCGTTCAACCACAGTCCACCACACACTCTGTTGATTGCCGGGATTATGAGCCTCGCGTTATATGTTACCTACTTTTATGTTGAAAGTTGTGAGATAGGTCGTTATGGCATTGTCCATGAGGACCTCCAGCAGAGTGGTGTTACGGTTCGGGTTATCTAGCCAGAACAGGCACCGACACGGCTCTATCGGATATGCATATTTTGCATCATTGAGCCAGATAAGTGGGGTTAGGGGCACTGGGCAGTGGGATATGGATGCTTTGCCTGATCGTGGGCTTGGTGCGATAAGCGATGTCTCCCTGCATTTATTACTGGATCCATCTCCATCTGATAAGCTCGCCCAGGAGGAGACATGAGCGAGCCTGACACCCGTGCTGCTCGTACGATCTTAGCAATTGGCCTCTGGCCCTCTAATCACCACCAGTGCAGCACCATCGGTTCACCTCTGCGGGGGAGGGCTGTCTTGACAGGTGCGTCACCTAGCGGTGAAGAAATGTCCCTCTACCGGATGGCTTGGAAAGCTACCCCGTTATCCTGTGGCACTTGGCAGCTGTCTATGGCAGTGGTTATCCGACGCGAATGGCAATTGACGAATCATATTGACGAATCATATTTTTGTATAATGGTACCCGAAATGTGCCAAGTGTTCCAGAATATTTTGCTTAAAAAGCCAAACGAAGTGAACCGTGAACACTGAACACTGAACACAGAACACCAACAGGAATGCTAAATACCATGCCGCCGTCCAAGCTCACTCGATAATTTTTTTCTCATGCCTTGTCAATTTGACTCACTCACCCCTCATCAACATTGGACCTCTTATACGGCCTTGCTCAAAGCAAACGGCATGACCCCAGTCCCCAACTACTCCCAGTCCCACTTCCCCTCCCCGCGACATTCGCTCGCGCCAGATTGATCGGTCAGAAACTTCCGTAGAACCTTCCTGGATTCGACCAATCAGAAGGCAGGATCGTTGGGCATGTTTTGACGATGCACTATGGTTTCAAAGGATAGGAATGGAAAGTAAAATAAGTTATTTCATTTATTTTGGAATTTCAACGTTTCTTTTGAAATTTCACTTAAACTTATTTTTCTTCAATTTTCAACAAATTTCTGATGATAAAATACCTACAAATTCATCAGAACTGTCATTATACCTTAAGCATTAAGTTATTTGTCGACTGTTACTACCGGCTCCACTTGGGCTCCACAATCCTTCCAAAGTGCGCTCTCCGACTTGCGCTTTCCGCTGGGAGGCGGTGTTCTTCACGTGTTTGAGGCGGTTTGATCGCGTTCGTATTTGAGGCGTTTGGGACCTATAGGGGGGTTGAATTCCCTGGATTTGTTTTGTTTCTTCGATCCACCAAGCAAGGTAAGACATTTCGCTTCTGTCTGCCATCAGCTTCTGAAAGAATCTCGATCTAAAAGCGCTTTGTCGAGGTTGAAGATATTGTGCAACATCATGAATTTGCCACAAAGTTATTTGATGTTTGCTATCTTTTGGATGAGTTTGCCATGATTTTTTACCCAAGGAGCTATCTCCACAACCTAAGCGGAGTGTGGACTGCACATTGGGCTTGTTTCAAGTTGCATTACGCTGGTTTTATCATTTCATGATTGATGTATTGGTGTTTGGTTGTTATTAGTAATATTTTGGTTGTTTTTATGTATAGAATGTCAAAATTAAGTTGGTTTGCCCATTATTTTGTAACTGTACCTTGTGGCACAAGACACAGGTGCTTCAGTCAAAGAAAATGATGAACAAAGTAAGACTTTACCTTGAGGCTTGAGGGCGAATACCTACCTACTACATAGAATGTTGATGTAGACTGTGCTCTGCTTTCACCAAAATCTGTCACTTGACGCTACTGCAAATTGGCATTCTGCTTCCATGGGATGGACAGTGTAAACTGTGCCTGGGGCGATTTGAGCAAGGCTCTCGAAATGAGCACGTGATAATCGTGTTGTGGAAGGCATTATACGGAGTAGTTTGTAATAGTCATGTGACTGTAATGTCCTCCGGTGCCCTGTTTTCACCATCCCATTTCCATGGTAACGTATATTCAAAATGTTACACATGACCTGATTTTACCCAAGCTTCATTAATCACTGTTCAGGAGTTCTCTTGGTGTTAGACCACTTCCTTGAGGGCCTAACACCATTTTCAACACCATTTGATCAAGTGCAATTTCATGTTAGGATCTTGACAGGATCTGAAGTAAAAAAATGTTGAATTTTGGACATTAGATTGAATGTAAGGTGAACTACCTGGTAGGATACATACAGTATTCTGGGACACAAGAATGGTTTTGTCCACATAGTGGGATAAACCAGGTGTCATCAAACATTTTTAACATTAAGTGGATCATAAGCTAAGATGGTTTTACCAATATCATGTCACCAAAATTATAGAACACCTTGTTATGTATTCATTTGAAGCTGCATGGATCATATTGGCTTTGGCTTCAATGTCCAAACCCTGTGTTCATCAGATTTTATAGGACTGCTCACGTTCATCAGATTTCCATTACATTTCCAGTCCTGCATTATTCAGTAGAGGCCCCGATCCGTCCCCGAGTGCTGCCGGCGGCCGGTCCTCCATCACCCCCCCCCCCCCACCCCCCGTCTGTTGGCAGCAGTGACGTCACCATGACCGACCGGAAGGCCGTGATCAAGAATGCCGACATGTCGGAGGAGATGCAGCAGGACGCGGTCGACTGCGCCACACAGGCCCTCGAGAAGTACAACATCGAGAAGGTGAGATGGTCGGTGATTGCGAAATGACGACGCTTCGTTTAAAGTAGGGTGACTAACACTGGCGTCGTGGTATGATATTGTTACTATCGCTTTCATAAGACTTGAAACTGGCTTTGCAGAAATGGTAGGATGGCTTCTATGGTATCCGTAGTATCGATTACGTCATCTCTGATTACACATGTACACTCGGGGGCAGATTGATGTTCCACCACTCCCTACCCATCGGGCTCCCATGACTCAGCACCGGCTGCTGCCAGTGGCAGCACTGGCAGCACTGGCACTGGCCCGCCCGCAGTGCTGAGCAGTGCTGAAAGCAGGCAACACTGGCAGCAGCAAGTGCTGAGTCATGGGAGCCCGATGGGCTGGGAGTGGTGGAACATCAATCTGCCCCCGAGTGTACCTGGCAAGCTATAATCCGACCCGTCCTTTCAACATTTTAGCTTCCCATATGCACTGTGGGCTCCTGTGATCGGGGGGCGACCCTTCTGTGCTGGGGTGGGTGTGGGGGGGGGAGGCAGGGTGCGGACACCGCTGAGTCATACACCGGTTGGTACGCCGGGGGGGGGGGGGCGGAGTGCAGGGGCCCCAGCGTCGAGCTCAGCCCCACCTGTGTATATTTGTCCGGTGCACTGTTTATCGGACCGCCGGGCGGCGAATGGCTCTGCCATGCCGGCCGGTGAATGGGTGGGTCTGTAACGCCAGGAATGTGCGGTCCCAGCTGCGCTTGTGCAGCCCGGCTGGGGGTTGGAGGCGTGTTCAGGATGGAGCCTGAGTGCTGTGAATGCGTTTCCGCAGGATATCGCGGCCTTCATCAAGAAGGAGTTCGACAAGAAGTACAACCCCACGTGGCACTGCATCGTGGGACGGAATTTCGGCAGCTACGTGACGCACGAGACCAAGCACTTCATCTACTTCTACTTGGGACAAGTCGCTATCCTTCTGTTCAAGTCGGGTTGATTTTGTGCTAGGTCATGTGCTATGTTTTTGAAATTCTTGTGTACTAACTGTCCTGCCAAGGAGGTGTTCTGTTTAAGTTATTGCAGACAAAACGTTGAGTGCTGATCATGGTAGCACCGGATCACAACGCTTTCATTCCCTCTCTCAAGTACGTGATTATTTTAGTGATTGTTTTGTTGTAAATAATGCGGTACTCATGAGTCGGGATTATTAACAATTAACGTTAATAAAACAGCTTTAGACCGGTGATATACATCCGGTGTTTCATTCGTCACACGGTACGATTGGTTGGGCGGAGTCAATTATAGGCTAAACCGTTTCTGGAAATGTTTATTTTACACATCGTACAGTTTCGCCGGTATGCAGCCCTGCAACACCACTATGGGAAGCGGAGTATTTTCTCACGGAGCGGACAGTAGAAGCAGAGTACCGGGACTGGAGTGACCTGCGGCGCGCGCCGGCCGGCCGCGCCGCCCCCAGCAGGGCGGGGCGGGCGCGCCCGGCCGGCCGGCGCACGGACTAGCGGGGCCGCGCCGCCGCCGGGCCTGGCTCGCCGGCTGCGCGGTGGACTACACGGAAATGAAAGCACACGACGTGGCGGCCGGGCGGCGGTTAAATAACGCGGTAGAGCGGCTTCTCGGTGGTATCCGGCTTCTGTTCGGCCGGCCGGCCGGACGAGCCGAACAGCTCGTGAGAGAAGCGCGGCGGTCCGGCCGAGCCGGAGCTGAACAGACTGCTGGCCGCCGGCCGCTCGGAGAACGCCGGCGGCTCGGCCGGACGGCTGAACGTCGCCGCCGCCATCAGCGGGTCATCCAGCACGCGCTGCGCGGGGGCGGGCGTCGGCCGCGGCGCGGGCACCGGCGGCGGCGGCGGCTGCGCCCGGAACGACCCAGTCACGGCCGCGTCGCTGGCCGGCTCGTCGGCATGGAACGAGCGCTGCAGCTCGTCCCCGGTCATCGAACTTGTCATGGGGTCATGCAGCGACCGCTTCAGATCATCACCGGTCATGGACGCGGTCATTGGGTCATGCTGCGGCCCCTTCAGGTCCTCTGCCGTCATGGACATAGCCATGGGGTCGTGCAGCGAACGCTCTAAATCCTCGCCGGTCATGGACGTGGCCATCGGGTCCTCGGCCATCAGCGAGCGCTTCAGATCCTCGCCGGCCATTGAGGCGCTCATGGGGTCCTGCGGCGCCTTCCTGACCTCCCCTCCGTACCCCACATCGGCGTGGAACGATCCGCTCATGAGCTCCTCATCCGGCTCGTGGTTGGTCTCCCCGCGTCCGTTGGTGGCCGGCAGGTCGTTGGTCAACGGACTCTCGACCGGAGGAGGCGCCGGCTCGCCGTTACGGAGGTGCGAGACGTCCGTGACGCCGCGGGCCAGCGGCGAGCGGACCGCGTCCTCCGTGGGCGAGCGCAGGCTGTCGGCCCGTGACGACATCGGGCTGCCGTGACCTGTGGGAGGGGGGGGGCGTCAGCTGCGTGCCGGAGTCGTGGGCAGTTGGTATGGCGCGGCGTCAGGCCTGTATTGGTAGTCTCGACCGCCGCCCGGCCTGCCCAGTGGCCTGTGGTCCGCAGGCGGCCGGGCGGCGCTATTTTGAATATCAGCTGCACGTCACAGGCAGCCGTGCCAGGACGTGTGCTATGGCCGTCGCCTAGCAACCGCGTATTCAATGTGCCGGGGACGGCGACAGACGGGTCGTGGCGGTGAGGAGAGGAGTGAGGCGGTGAGAGGCACTAACTGGGGATTTTTCTCGGGTACTTTTCCAGAGTGCTCGGTATTTTCGGCCCGGCTCATGGTGAGGTCAACCGGGTGATTTAACACGTGCACTGCGGCAGCAGGTGCCGGAGGAACTGCGGTCGGTCGCCCGGCGACTGTGCCTGTGGCTCTGTGCCAGCAGTGCTGCAGCCGGCGGCCCCAGTTTCATCACGTGCCGGTTCAGACGTGCCGGTCGGCCGCCGCTCCCGCGGGGGAGGGGGTCGTGACCCCGGCCGTCTGGAAGCCTCACGGAGCTCACCGTCTGCTCTCGGGTGACGACCGACCGGCAGCCAGCTCCGTGGGCCGGCGCGCGGCGGTGAGCGGGTGAACTTGGCCGGGCTGCTGCCGCCGCCGGGGCGCCGGTCAATACCGGAGCTCCGCCCCTGGCCGGCCGGCCGGCGAGCTCTGTTTACTGCCTGGTGGAACGGTGTTGGTACCGTACTGCTCACAATGCACGGCCGAGGCTCAGCGACACACCGCCCGCGGCAAACGCCCGAGAGCCGCCCGGCCGGCGGCGGTTACCGGGCGCTTTCATTAAGGTCGGGATGGCGCCGCCGCCCATAATAGCTGCGCCATCCCGGGCCGACCGCGCGGGCGTGGCATCCCGGGTCATTTATAGCCCATGGAGTTGCTCTCTAGGGTCATATCTCACCCACCAGTGTGTGATAATCTACGACCCAAATCCCGGCCAGCCGCAGCCAAACGACGTGGCTCCGCCGCGAATTCTCCGCTGAAAAATGTGGCCACGTCAGCTCGACATGCCCCAATACAGCGGTACAACTGGCGTGCATATTACAGCAGAGGACGGGTGCATTGTTCGCCAGTTCGCCCCCGTGAGTGGTTGCGTGCGTGCCCACTGCGCGCGGCTCCCGGGCGCCGCCCGTCCCACGCCTGAGCCGGGATTAGAGGCCACGCCCGCCCTGGCGCACGGTGAGCTAGTTCGCTGTGTGATATGACATGAGTCCCAGTGTACCAATTGACCATGTGTACGCGGACTAGCTGGGATTGGTTCGTAATGAGCTGAACTACTGGCTTCTGAATATGAAGTGTGCGACTGCCATTGGCACGTCAGCAAATATCCTTCAACAGCAATAGCAGGCATTGTTCTGTGGACAATAAAGAACACTCGCAAAGTTCTTGCTAGCGTGCCTTCCTTTGTTCATGATGTCACGTTTTCCCTGAGAGATACTTTATGTGATAATATACAGTGCATGCAACTAAGAATGCTGCGTAGGTGGCAATCGTGACTGTGGCTGCCCTTCCGCTGAACGGCCCGGTGGAAAATCACCTACCTCAATTGGCACTGCGCGCTGGCCGTTAGTGCACATTGCGCTGACGTTGCATACCGACCGCTCGGCGCACTGCGCCACGCTGAGTGCTCAAGGTCGATCAATACCCACCTCCCATGACGTTTTGCGTCACGGTGAACGTTTTGCCCGTGTCCAGCGGAACTGTCCAGTTGACCGGCTCGGGCGACTTGATCGGCGCCATGCCCTCGGGCGATTTGACGCGGGTGGGCTCGGGCACGCTGCGCACCACCTCCTCCGAGGCCGACTTCTGCTCCTCGGGAGCGGCGTCGGTCGGTGGGGCCATGTCCACCTGCGGGGCGGCGCTCTCTACAGCGGCGGGCGCCGCCGGCGGCTGAGGAACTGGCGCCGCGGCCGTCTCTGCAGCCTCAACAGCAGGCTTCTTCTCTTCATCGACGCGTCCGTCCTGCTCGGGTGTTGGTTTAACGGCCTCCTCTGCCGAGCCGGCCGGCGCGCTGGCGGTCATAGCCGTCGACAGCGGCCGCTCCGCCTTGGTGGGGCTCTTGGCCTTGGCGGCCAGCCGGTGGGCGGAGCGCGAGCGTGGGGTGCCGCCGCGGATACCCTTCCCACTGGCCGAGTCCGGGGTGCCGGAGGGGGCCGCGGCGGCCGGCGGCGGGCGGCTCGACCGCTCCGTCTTGGCCGTGGCTGGCCGCGGCGGCTTCTCTGCCTTCTTCTCTGGCTTCTCCGGCGGCGGGCGGCTGGGCCGGTCCACCTTTTTCTCCGGCCGCGCCGCCGCCGCCGCCGCCGGGGGAGGTCGGGTCGCCGGGGGCCGCGCCGCCGCCGCCGCCTTCTCTGCCTTGTCGACGCTGGGCGGACGCTCGGTGGGCCGTTTGCGCGGCTTGGCCGCCGCCGATGGCACACCGTCCGGTCGAGAGGTGGGCGTCCGCGGCGTGGCCGGACTGCGACCCTTGGGGCGATCGACCACGTCACCTGGGGGCAGAGGGTCCGGTCAGAGCGGGCCAGAGTGGACGGAGGCGCGCTCTAGTCGAGGGAGGGAGAGGGAGAGAGAGGCGGCTGCCACACGGGGTCGAGCAGCGGACAAATAACGTCATTTGGAGCGCAGATGGGATGAGCCAGACCGTGTCCGATGAATAATCAAGCCATGTCTAGACTAGCGAAAAAAAAAATCATGATGCCTTTTGATTGACCCATTAACCAGCCGACGAAAAAACTGAATGGATACAGTGGAATCCCTCATCTATTTCCAGGTCAGGCCCGCGACTCCGCCCGCTCAGATTCTCCGACCATTGATTGATGCCTGGCTCGGTGGGAGCCGCCGGGGTCGGGGGCGGGCAGTTTCAGACGGGGGTCTGTCGGGCCGTGCCCCGCCACTGATGGGCGGCAGACGGACGGCAAAACAGGCCGACCGACAGATTACAGGACGGACAGAAGGGGCGGGGCGCCGGTTGGCCGGCCGCCAGCCCACTGCAGCGGCGGCCGCCGACCCGCCCCCATCGGCGGCGACGCTGTGCTAGTGCCGTGTCAGCGGCCACTGCGCCGCCGGCGTGGGGAGGGGTCAGCTGCGCTGTCTCCCAGCTCCAGGCCGGACCGTGGCCGAGTGCCCTGGCGCTGTCACCTCGTGTTTGTCCACCAGCCCTGGACCCCCGCTCACTACCGGTCAGCCGCCCGACCCCTGCCCGGAGGCACCGGCCGACCCAGCGCCGACCACCCCCGCCCGTCTCCGAGCGGAATGTAACGTCAGATATCTGAGCAGCGCCGGAAGTTATCACGCCGGGTATTTGTTACGTCATGTTTTGGCCCGGCACCGACGTTTGTTAATTAGGCTCTGGCAGCGCGTTAATGTCGCGTCAGTCAGTGTCCCGTCAAGTTACGCCACAGGGCGCTACAAACGGCCAGAGATGGATCAATTTAACGTACTCAGGTATTCAGAAAGGTTAGCGGGAGTACAGCCCACTGAACCCTAACACCAGCTTCTTAACTACTTCACATCTCAACGATAGGTATTCATGACGCCAACTTCCAAACAATTTCCGGTTTCCTGCGCTTTCCATGGCCCGTAGGTCGATCATAGATTTCCATCGGTCGTCATATCTTGGGGCCGATCCAATTCACCCCCGATCAATGCGGAGCGCTAATCGAAGGCCGGTCTGTCGCGTGAAGGGGAGCCGAATCGCCCTTGGGAGCCATCGAGTGGCTGTTGTCGGCTCACTGAGGCACGACGGCGTCTGTTTTGTATATCAGCAACACAGCCGGCAAGCTGGCGCCTCTGCGCCATGGCAAGCGCGCCCGAACGGTCGAACATCATAAATGTTTTACGACCCAGACCAACCGTATGTAGCGCCGGGTGTCAGGCGCCACCATTCAGTGTTTATATCCTTCAACCAGTGCCGGAGTTTGAGGAATGCTGGTTTACATTTCGTTACATTCCAATGGGTACATTTAGAGAGGTTGCATGTTGGTGGCTGAATTAGCTGGGGAATATTTACTCAGTCCAGAAATGGAGACATTTTAGGAAACCTCAATCGGAAGAGGATTGACTGGACATGATCGTTCTACCTTCCCCGCCATCTGTGTACGAACAGCTTCCATCAAGCTTTCTACTGTTTGCTTAGTCGGGTAACAGCTTCGAAAATCAATCAATGCTGGAAGTGTATTTTTGTAAGAGCCGCCTAGACAGCCCAAACTCAATCATGTCATTTGTGACCGAATCGTCAATCGAGTCTCACCCTAATATTGGGAAAACTCCAGGAGCTCAGGAACAAAAGCCCCGCCGGCTTTCATCCCGCTCCTTTGAATGCAAGGCGTCAACTTTCTGACAACTTTGATCTCATTCCTTGATGACAGCTATCTCGGGACGGCCGTTGGCGACAGTGTCGGGCGGCTCAGCTCAGAGCCGTCTGTGGGTCTCTGTGGACCAGCTCTGAGCTCATGGTCTCCCTGTCCTGGCGCGCCCTCCCTGACCCATCCATGTGTTGACTCAGCAGCCGCCGCTGAGTCAATAATCAGACACCTCTGAGAGTCACGGTGACAGGACGGCAGACTCACCCGTGTGCCGATCGGTGGAGGGCTGTGCGCTGTGGGGTCGCTTGCTGCCCTCCGCCGCGTGCAGTTTTAACGCCATCTAGCGGGAGAGGGAGTAAGCGTTAGTATTCTGGTCGGCCGCCACCAGTCTCCCTGGCGCTGGCAGAAAATGGGACTGGTGGCACACTGGCAACTGAGGCACAATCGATCGGCTCCGGGAGATGAAACATGGGCAAGGTTATGTAAATAGGCGTGCATTGTTTCCGTGAAGAATGTTAAACTTCATGAAACATTAATGAATTCATGTGAGCTTTAGTCGCCTAGTGTGCCTCAGTCTGGTCTCAGAACACTTTGGAATGCTAAAACGGGCTTCACGACAAACTCAAATCCCACACATCCAGTCGGTATACTGAGTGGTGCATAGGGTGCCTATGACTTACCTTGGCTGCCCCTGGCGACTTTCTGCTGCTGGGCGGCGGATGGGACTGTTGTCGGACAGAGGCGCCCCCGGTAGTGACCGGACTGCGACCCCGCTCCTCCCGGACAAACCTAAGGCGGACAGAGAATCATATTAGACAGATTGACAGACATGCACACAAACAGACAGACAGGCAGGCAAACAGAGACAGGTGATGACCGGGCTGCGGCCCCGCTCCTCCAGGACAAAGCTGCAAGACAAGCACAGCCATATCAGACAGGCTGACAGGCAGACAGACAAACAGACACGAGGCAGAGACAGCTAGTGACCAAGCTGCGGCGCCCCGCTTCTCCCGGACAAAGCTGAGACACGTATCCGTCAAATGTTAGATGACAGGTCAGACAGACAGACAGACAGACAGACAGACAGATATAGGTATACTGTAGACACACAGACAAAAAAACACACACACACGACACAGACAAATGTTCGTATGTCAGACAGGAAGGCAAACTGGCTGGCCGAGCCAGATAGCCAGCCAGGTGACTTTGACAAACACCGCTCAGATAGACAACCAGAAATGACAGGTCAGAGGGGTATAAGTGCCAAACGTGGGACCTGCAGACAGGTAAACAGACATACAGACAAATGAGCATACCTCCTAGCTGCATACAGGCCCCATAACAAACCAGGACATACATAACTGAAACAGTAAGACCTGGGGCTCAGTCCGGTCAAATTGGGCCACATGGCTCATTATAATGGCCATTGTGGGTCATGACCTCATCATGCTGGCGGGCCCGTAGGCATTAACAACCTTCAGCATGACAAAACGAAAAAACAGCACGAACAGCTGCAATCACGCAACGAAATGAGTAGCCTCACGATAAAGATGGCTCGCCATGCCAGTATACACGGAAAACCGCTTCCTCACGATTCATGGGGCTGACATTAGTCCGTGAACATGCCGTGCACGATTTGAGTGTCACTTGAATTTTAGATGGGCACTCAAAGCAAACACTGCCGTAGTGGGCAGCATCTTCCTTTTTTTGCAACGAAGCCGGTACGAATTTCGAGCAGCACCACGCGCTCACTGACCCAGGTTTGAGCGTCTCCAGGTAGAGTGCTGAGATTATTTTTCGTTCGGCCAAGTGGCCAGAGTCCTCTTCTTTGTCGTACAGGTGGGCCATGTGAGGCTGCGCCATCTCCTTGCCCCATCCTCGGACCTGTCGAAAGCGGAAACACGCAGAAGTTAGGGCTGGCCCGGCTGGCTTCATTCACCCGAGCATGACGGTTATATCAAGAAGAACAAAGAACAAAACGGGCCGGTTGCAGGATGAGGTTGAGGTTCTCGGTGAACGGTAGCTGTGGCGAACATCGGTGGACAGTGCACTGCTTTATCCGTTTGTTCGAAAAAATAGCGAAACCACGCTTCTTTATCCCAACGATATTGCTCAGCAGATCGTGAAGACGTGAATCTTTTATTCATGCTGCAGGATCCCAAATCCTCGAGTACGAGCTCCGCCCGTCGACCGGAATAGTCATTTAGGGGCGGCGATGTCATGTTCGGGAGTATGCGGCACAGTCTACCTTCAGGCGCCTACCACCAGTGCCATCTATGGACAGATATTGAAAAGACCCAGCTTTGCCGGATATTCGACCTACAGGCGCTCCCTACTAGCGCCATCTGAGGACGGAGACTGAAAAAACCCAGCCCTGCGGCGCAGCCTAACTTCAGGCGCTCACTACTAGTGTCATCTATGGGCAAACAATAAACATTGAAAACACCCAGCCGTGCGGCACAGCCTCACTTCAGGCGCTCACTACTAGCGCCATCTATGGACATCGATTGAAAACACCCAGCGGCCAGCCATGAGGCGCAGCTAGCCTTGGGCGCAGCCTAAGTTCAGGCGCTCACTACTTGCGCCATCTATGGACACAAATTGAAAACACCCAGCCGTGCGGCGCAGCCTAACTACAGGCGCTTACTACTAGCGCCATCTATGGACACAGATTGAGAACACCCAGTCATGCGGCGCAGCCTAACTTCAGGCGCTCACTACTAGCGCCATCTATGGGCAAATATTGAAAATACCTAGCCGTGCGGCGCAGCCTACCTTCAGGCGCCTACCACTAGTGCCATCTACGGACAAATATTGAAAACACCCAGCCGTGCGGCGCAGCCTAACTTCAGGCGCTCACTACTAGCGTCATCTATGGTCAGAGATTGAAAGCACACAGCCACGCGGCGCAGCATAAAATCAGGCGCTGACTGCTTGCTCGTGCGAGCAATGGATAATGACATTGCATGATTTAGACATGAATGTGATTTACTGATGCTTCGATAAACGAGTAATGCACCCTTCTGACATACTGGCTCTAAAGAAAACGTCAGATGGGTGCATGAGTCGGCTAAGCTTTCAACACAAGCAACCATTTAGGCCAACTCTACAGGTAACTGGGCATGAACCAAACTTACTACAGTCTTTCGTCCAGGATTCTAGCTCAACTGATCTTAGAGATGCACAGATTCCTTTTATGCCTCGAGTTAAATTTCCTCTACTTTTCCGTTGATCTTTTCTACCATGAAGTTACCAGAAACGGGCCTTTTGGGTAGTTTGAGTTTCATATAAACAGGCAGTTATTTCGATGCAACCAAAGGTCACTCCTAATGTCCAGTGCTGTAGCCCCACCGGGTAATAGCCATCACACCCGACATTTCAAACTGTAACTGCAGCAGTGGCATATCAAGCCAAGCCTTTCTTAGAACTCTCTCTCCTCCCGGGCTATTTGACCTTCACACGGAGCGCCGCCCGCCCGATCCACTCAAAAGGACCCTCCCTAAACGACGCCTCCGCGCGGCGCGGCGTCGATTTCGTCCAGCCCGAACCGCGCATCAGGACCGACACCGCCGTGAACCACTGGACGGTGCTGTCTCGTCCCGGTCAGGTCGGGCCGCCGGCCGGCCACAGACGGCAATATCGACCGTCCGACCGGCCGGCCGCTCCGGCTGTGACCAGCGGTTGCCGGGCGGGGTCTGCCGGACGCCGCGGCACTGTCTGGGATGGTTAGGAGCTGTCCACGGGAGAGCCCCACGTGGGTCTAGAGGGGCGGGGATTGTCCCGTACCTCGGATGGAGCAGGTAAATCTGAGACCCGGCAGGTCATCAGAAAAGTTAGCGAGTTGTCTAAGATAGGTCACCTGGGAGGAACGTGGGACGCTGAGATGTCGGGGCAGGTTACAGTAAAATTCATGAAACTGGACAGCCCGGAGAGCGTCGACGGGGCAGAAGGAGTGGCATGCCTAATGTCAATTATTCACCATCATGACATGGACCCGATACATAACATAAAGATCCTTCTTTGTCAGAATCATAAAGCAAGTCAGCTTAAAGGCCACAACAGTGCAACAAATGAGTACAATTTAGCCCAAGAAAACTGAACATACGTTACACGGATGAAGGAGCGTCACGATAGGGAGGAAGCCGATATGTCACTTATGCTGCTTGATCACCTTTTGTTTACACTTGTCTCTTCCCCTTTAGCCCTTCATGCTGCTTTGAAGCATCGGCAGCCTCGTCATTGATTTACTCAACTGATTTATTTAGCTTAACGGCTAACGCTCCTCTGGCTTTCATGAGCAGGTAAAAGTTTTAGTTTTATCATTGAGGCTTTAAAGGTTGAAAAGGTAACCTTTTGCCGGGGCAAGGAGATCACAATCCCTCTGCTAATTCCCCTCCGCTTTGTGCCTACGCCCATTATATGCAGGCACTTGTGGACAATGAACATGCTACTCTCATTCTGCCAGAATTACCACGAATGATAACATTACAATATGCTACGTAAGCCAACGCCGCCATGATCAGCCGCTCTGATTCACCAAAGTGGTCAAACGGTCTTTCCCTTCCCTCCCTCTGCCCCACACACAGGCTCATTCACCCCCCCCCCCCCCGCCCGACGCACCTTATAGCTGGAGGCCTTTCTGCGCAGCTCGACCACCTCCTCGTACCAGGGGGTGGGCGGCGCGCCGGCAGCCCCGGCGGCCGCGGAGGAGCGGTCCGCCTCCCCGCCGCCATCCGTGGCGTCCCTCGCGCCCGTGAAGTGGCCGTCGACATACGTGTAGTCGGAGAACGGCCGGAACTTGAGCTTGTATTCCGTGTTGAGCGCCGACCTGGTGGTATGAGAACACAGGTTCACTATCAGTGATTCGGTAGAGGCAATGGGCGGATCACTTGATAGAGCATGGTTGATACATCGTCGAAACGGGCGAGTGGATGCTAAGCAGCTAACAAGCCAGGTTTTATCATTATAAACAATTATCTCCGTACACCTTAATACCTAAGCGTTTGGAGCCACACCGTGTCTGCTCTTCCGCCACTGTGCAGAGTATTCTTGCCTGTTTTATGTTCGTGTCTGGGATCTGTCTGTCGGTCTGTCTGCCTTCCATGTATGAGTCTCTGCCTGTGTGTCTGTGCCTGCGTGTTCTCCGTGTTAGTTGGCTGGGCTCTCTCCGTTATCGAGGTTCGATACCGGGGACAATGATTGGTTGTGTCTGCCGGCACGCGACCCGTGCTCGACACAGCACTGGCGGAGAGTATAGGCAGCGGGCGACGTCTTCAGACAGGGGCACAATCAACACGCAATAACCCTCTGATGCGGTCCTCAGTCCTCACAACGCAAAGGAATAACAGTCTCATGGAACCAATCAGGGTTAAAAGTTAAAACGATTGGGTGAAATATTCAATGTACTGATGAATTACTTGTTTCACTGCTGCTGGTGAGCTTCGAATATGTAAGTACGCATTACATAAGCAGGTAGGTACGTCGTACCGTCAGCACTATGCAATTTACTCTGAAACCCTGAGCTCAATCCCAATTTCCGCATTAGCAAGGTAATGAAATTACGGATGTTCCCGAAAAGGCTGATAAAGGGCTAATCAATGAACCGATAAAAATGGATAAAATTGGTAGGCATCAGTGACATTGAAATCAACATCTGAAACAAAACGCCTTTTTACCGTTTCCACTGGCGATGTTGCAACAGCCAAACGTGCCTCTTCTGAACAGAAGCCCTATGTTGACCCTTCTGGCAGTCGACTCATGACCTTGTAAAAGGAAGGACATTCTACCTTCCACTAACGGCTTCAAGGGCCCCATAAACCTGTCACCGGTGAGGCATAGTGGGCTAGATCAGAATCCAGTCGGGTAATTAGAGCAGAACCACCTCTGGGAGTTCTGAAGAGCCGCTGCCGGCTCCCACTTCACTCGGCGTTCCCGTGCTGAGAAAGGGCCGCCCATTGTGCCGACGTGGTGCCTCAAATGTGCCCTAACGACCAGCAGACTGATCGCGCCGACTCGCTCTCTGTGGAAACATTGTCAAACCAAGTGGAACGGCTTCCGGCGGCTCTCACTGAGAACAGGGCTACGATCAGACTGATGAGACCGCCCTCGCGACCAGGCAGAGGTTGAAAGATCGTCTGTTGAAAGAAGATATAAAACCTTGCAAGTTAGCAGCCACATACATAGAGCAAAATTGGTAAGCAAAAGTATCATACCGAGCTATGTTGATTGTTGAGTACAATGCAAAAAGTCAAACTTTGTGCCAGACCTCAAATATATTTTCGCTCTCGCCAAAAGGTGATTTGGTGAAAATCCTCAATAGAGGCCAAAGCTTGTGTATTTTCCACCAAACACAAAAGTGCGTATCGGGTCTGTACCGATTGCAAACTATTGCTGATCCCAACCTTGAGGTAGAGCTATAAATAGCCCCTTTAATCCCACATGGCTTCGTCACTGGTTAAAAGCCTTGCCTTTGACGTTCTCGTCAGTTATTGCCGTTGCGGCAATGAAACGTTGATCATCTCTACCATAAAAGACAATATTTATAGACAAGCATAACGCTTTTACTGAACCTGGTGAGTGGCGTCGTGGGAGACGCTGATTAAAACACACCAGTAATTCCGGGAACGGCATTTCACCGAAGTGCAGTAAACATGCAGCGGCCGCACAAATTTGCTTGCGAGTAGTTAGCATTCCTCAGATGAATCGTCATCACGCCAGCTTTAATAGTGCAATGAAACTGTTTCATCTAGAGCCTATGTGCCCCGATGCAGGTCTCGGGTCTCGTCCTTGATCTACAGCCCCGTTTAATCGTTACTTTTGTCTCCACTGCGGGTCCTTGCCGCTGCAATTACGTACTTACTAGCCCGACCCGGCGGCTGTGGCCGGCATGACTCACTGTGCGTATGGCCCCCGGGTGACTCAGGTCAGTGACATACCCGTCCATACCATACTGATCACCTGTGAGTTGACTAACTGACGTCCGACCGGCCAACCGACCGGGCGGTCGAACCACCGACACCGCTCCAGACCGTAATACAAAATCGATAGGGGGACGGCGCGCACCTTTTCTGGGTGGTGACTGGCTCCTGTGTGTCGGCCGCCCTGGACGGGGTAGGCCCCATCCACGAGCCTGAAATGAGACAGCACATAAAACAGGTCATGTCAGTGCACAGCACAAACGACGCAGGGTGTGCAAAACAATCAATGGTTGTATAAGGTCAAACACAGAATCAGTGCTGCACCAAAACAGACTACTGCCACACCCTGTGATAGACAGCGACCGGTAATGGGTTTCACATTGATCGGTCTGTTAAAATCAATAACAAAATAGTTATATCGCTTATACAGCGATAGCAGCAAGAAGATGCGTTTGTAAACAATTCCAGAATGCTGATCATTCTTTCAACTCTACCCCGAATGAAACCAACACATCATTAAAGCATAGCGTGCCACGAAATATCGACATACGGTGGCCGAGCAGGGAGGGACGGAGAGGGGTCGGCGCCGGGGCGCGGTCGTTACGACGCTAGGGTACCCGGAAGAGGGGACAACATAACCAGGGGACAGTCGGGCACAGCGTCATAACTGTCAGTCGGGTGGGTGGTAGCAGAGACAAGTGGGGGTGACAAACGGACTGTAGAAGCCCAGACTGACCAGGTGGGGCGGGGCGGGGCAGGCCTCTCCGGGCAGACAATCGGGAGAGGAGCGGAGGGGACTGACCGGCAGTGAGGGGGACGGCAGAGCAGACTCACCGTCCTGGACCAGCTGGACGGCGTCCGCCGCCGTGGCGTTACAGTCGAAACAGCGCAGCATGGCGGACGGCTCGGCCGGCCGGCGGCGGGCCACAAAGACGAGCGGCGGACGGGCGGGGCGGCGGCACGCCAGTGGCGGCCCCTCCCCGGCCGGCGCCGCGCCAGCCGCCGCCAGGGGCCGCCCCGACTGACCGATCGAAACGGCCCCCGCCGCCGCCGCCGCCGCCGCTCCAGCCGCCGCCGCAGGATTGGGGGGACGCCGGGCCGGGTCAGGGTCGGGTCAGGGGTCACACTCACCTGGTAACATGGTGGTTCTCAGAGGCGGTCTGTCCGCCGCATCCCGTGCACAGAGTCACCGGGGCGCGGGCCGCGTGCCGGTCGGCGGCGCGTGCTGGTCGATGCTGCGTCGCGCCGGCTGTGGGCCCAGTGCAGCGCGCGCCGCTACCGCTGCCGTGTCGGTGCGATCGATATGGGCCGCCTGGAGCCGCCGGCTGGAGCGGGGAGCGCCTCCGCCGCCGCCGCCACCACTCTGCAGTGGCCGCACAGAGGTCACCGGAGCCACCGCCCCGAGAAACGCGACCTTTACGATACCCCGGGGGAGAAGACCGCCGGGATGCAACAGTCGGCCCGGAGCCCGGCGGCGATGGCCCACTGAATCCGTGATGGCGGCATGCATCATTTGGTTAGCGTCACTGGCCGCCAGCACGCAAAGACTATAAATAGAAAGTCCTCCATTTATATGACGTAGGGAAGAAGCAGAGTAATTGCCGTACGCTGCGAAGTTTCATCGCAATATCCTCTTGAGCCATAATAATCTCGGAGCAGTTACCAAGCTTCGTGGTTAGTTCCTTACAAAAAGCATAGCTTGTTCCATCGATCCAGCGACGGAATTAACTTTTAACTATTATGCTTGCAACAAGAACAGACAGAAAATAGGTCACCTGAACACGCCACCAGCATTTGCCAGACATCCCTTCCTGCGGATAGGAAGATAAGAAAGTCAAACTGTAGGAGAAGTCTGAAACCATAGTACCTAAAGGTCTCGCAGCCTTATTACAGTCTGCCTGTGTCAAAAGACAGACAAGCAGTACTTCAGCTCCCGAAAATTAAATTGCTGCATCAGCGTTGTCTTGCCAGCCAATGTCGCAATTTACAAATTAAATACTACTGCTGAGTTCCTGTAATCCTCAAGTATAGTTCTACTCGGTGTAGCCCTAAACTGAGTAGCATCTCTCACCAGCTTGTAGAAAGATAGTTGATCACATCGACTGTTTTGCATCTGTCAAGAAACTTCAGACTCTGTGCCGTGCATTCCTTGGCTCGATTGCGAAGTTAAAGGGACCCTCCCACCTTAACATTAGTTTTGAGTTGAGATAGCCAAATTGGTGGCCATGGCCTGAAAATACCGGTTTGGGCATTCACAACATCGAAAAATGCTTTAATTCGGAGATATGGAATTTCAAACTTGCAGTTTTCGGATTCTAAGGGGCTAATGCATTGGTATGCCCCCTTAGAATTTGTGACGTCAGCGGAGATCTAACGATTTTTAAATCTTTTACTAAAACGTTTGGCAGCACGCGGTGGTATATGCTGCTTTGCGCGCAACAAATGCCGCACTTTCAAATAAAGTCGCTAGGAACAGCGGAGATCCCAAAAAGTAAACAAAAGTAAAAGTCTAATATCTTGAAAACCGGTGAATATTTTTCGATGAAATTTGGTAGATATTCATTTTTGCTCTTTCTGAACCGAGCGACATCACTTTCATGCCAATTCATTAACTTTTTTGAAGGTGGGAGGGTCCCTTTAAGAGAAGTTCGGTCTATTGAAATCCAATTGAAACTCGCTTCAGAAAATTTGAAAAGATTCTGATCTGATGAAAGCATGATTACAGAATAGTCGTTAAAATGCTACTGAACTAGGCATTTCAGCAAATCACTGTAAGTTGATTGAAGAAAAACAATTAACCCTCGCCCATGTAGGGGGGGTTGGTGCAACCCCCCCCCCCCCCTGAGGCTTTTCGGAAATAGTGCAAAAACGGCGACGCGCAGCGCCGCCAAATTTTGGGTACCTTATGGGGCAAACCTTGCGCATCTTTTGATAAAAAAAAAAAATTTGACCGGGTCATGTCAGGTCACGGAGTTATGACGTCACAAAGGGAACAGCCTCCGGCCGGATTTTCACAAACTGAGTGCCAACGCCCGAGGTTTCCTGCCGGTGGTACGGACATCGGTTGATGGATCGTGATGAAACTTCCCATGCATGTTGGGGCAAGTATTGGCTATCATATGGTATAAGAAACTTGACCGGGTCAGGTCAGGTCACGGAGCTATGACGTCACAAGAGGAACAGCGTCCGGTACTATTTTTGAAAAGCGCCCGAACCACTATTTTGCTAATTCTTGTCACCTCAATGGGAATATGCAGCAATATTAGCTTCTATAGAGAGCAAATGGACCTCCCAAATCCAAAAATACAATCAGATTTCAAAAATTTAAATTTTGATTTTTCGAATTTCTGCCGCCGACTGTGACCTTGCCGACTTCCGGCGCTCCCAACGCGCCATTTTTAGAGCTAGGGAAACGAAATACATACCAAACGATAGAGAATTGATCAAGAAACACGATAGTGAAGGTTTCAAGTCGATATCTCCCACCGTTTTGCCGCAATCGCCGCGGAAAGTTGAAAAAAAAGTCTATTTTTCCGAAAATTTGACCTTTGACCGGTCAAAAGTAGGTCAAATGTTGACCTAGGACCAAAAAATATACCACCAATCGCGAGAACTCGGCGAGAGCAATCCGTTGGTCTTTTCCGCTAAGCTCTACGACGCTCCGTTTTCAAACGCCAAGGGGGGGGGGTCGCACCAACCCCCCCCCCTGCATGGGCGAAGGTGGCAGATCGCCGTTTACGGGCGAGGGTTAAAAGGCTTGAAAAAAAAACGCCAAAGGCGTGTCAATATCATTATTACCGACATTATTATGACCAGGTATGTTATGCGTTATGATAAGAATACGTTGCATAGCAGCGCTATCGGGATTCTCGCTTCGACCAGTAAGTAAGAGTCTCATTAGCACGCATTTTGATCCTCACTGAAGCGCCAGCCTAAACACAGAACCAACAACACAGGTGACGAGCCTAAATTCATCCTCGGCTCCGTGAGACGAACTTATATGAACACAAAACCTGCGGGATACAGATCGGCTTCGGCCCCGAACCCACCGCCGCTGTGGCTCTGAAAGGTAGGCTGTACCGCAGTACCCGTGTGTCGCGCGGTGCAGTATACCAGCCAGCAGCTACAACTCCGCCCTCCATCGAAATAGAACGACAGCGGGTCGATCATAACATAACGAGGACCCTGCTTGAATAATCAATTTTCTTATAAATCAACCGTTTAAAGAACTCACTAGTGACATTGTGATTCATCTGACGAATTGAATATCACGAAATAATGAGCGATAGCGGAGAAAAGCAATGCAATAGAAAGGATAGGTACATTTTGTTTAACACTGAAGTGTTCCGACGTCCGGCCTCCGAGCCTCCGAAACCATACTATTGAGAAATTCCCCACTCTTGAGAAAACCTACAGTGACCAGGCGATTTTGTTCCTGACATTTCCTGAGCCATGGAGATGAACACAGCTGGGTTTCGCCCGTGCTCTTGCTAGCGATAGTTACTCAAGGAAAACACAGCTTGGAAGTGAATTGTGGCAAAAACAGCAAACACATCCTGATGGCAGCGACAGTCATTTATGTGATATCTAAGACTAAATTGGTAAATATTTATTCGTCTGTATCTCATAAATTATAATAGGAAAATAAATTATATCTAGCTCCACGACATAATAAAACAAAACAATCAGTAGGTTCTCAGTAGATAGTGATAAATCTGATTTGCTTTATAGAGCAGTAGGTAATGTAATATAGGTATATACCTATACATCTCAGGCCAGCCATCTTGATAAATTAAGTCTGAAAATTTACTTTTATTTATGATAGTCTGGCTGCTCGATAACAATATCTCCCATGACACGAGCACCGTAAACATCAACCATACCTACATTTCATTAGAATAGCCGTAAAACATTAAACCCAGGTCAACCCATGCTAAGGTCGCTTCCACCACAGAGTTGCCAGTGCGCCCGGTGCTGCCCGTATACGGTCAGTATTTACGGAGCCGTGACTAACTAGACAAACGCTGCATTTGCATGCCACCCCGCTATTTAAGGCAGGTCCACAAAGGCAGCACGGATCGAGCGGGGCTCAGCCATGGACGCCCGTACCAAGCCATGGACAGAATCTGCCATGGAAGGGGAGAGAGTAGGAACGGCAGGAGAAGAACCGAGCAAAAAGGGCATTACCAGAGAATATGACTGTAAAATATGAGCTGACGGAAAATACAAAACTGAGGACGGGGGCACGGACGTTACGAGAATGTAAGAATATGACGAAGGGAGTATGTGTCAGCCCACGAAGAACGACAGAGATGGCGTGGAAGATGTAAGAGGCTGTCTGAACTCCTGTCAGTGGCCATAATGGGAAGAAGGTGCTATATCCAAGGCCATAACTGACTGTTCCGGGGGGTGACGCGAACAGTTCCGCGCTGAATGTCACTGGCTGCCGTCGAGACCAGAGGTCGTTGTCGGGGTCAGTGACAGGAAGCCAGCCAGAGGCCACAAACTGAGACAACTGAGGGTCGACCGCGTGTGACGGTGCAGCAAAAGATTAAGAGAAACGGAAACATTGCTATGAGTTGGTTCAGAGCGGATGGAAAATCCGTCTGAGTTGGTTCAGAGTGAGTTTGGTGCAACGGCCCGATTCGGTTCGCTGCATCGTTGATCGGTTGCATTCGATTCAGAAAGGATCTGGAATCGTATATTAGTCAGATTTATTTCAAAGTAAAGCGTGCAGCGATGTGAATTGGTTCAGAACGGCCGGTGCACTGTTCCGAGTCAGACCGAGGCCTGCTCTCCGCGGCTGTCCCATTAGCGGTCTCGTCCATCACAGCCCGAGACCGGAGACGCCCAGCCGTGACAATTTACACAGAGGTTCCATTTGTCCACACAGGCTGACACGAACGAATTGAAAAACTTGGCGCTTCTTGAGTCATTCTCAATCGATGAGCGGAGGACTTGGAAACTTTCAACTGAGACTGATCCTTTGCAATGAAAGTTTCCCTCACATACAGCGCAGCAGAGCTTTGTCTCGCAAATGCCTGTCGCAGCTCAACACTAATGATGCAACTCCTAGCGATACACGAGTCGGCATACACAGTGCTCATTCAGTATCATCCCATGACCTTGCAGCAGCCGGTCCTATCTGCGGCCCCACCGATATTGTTTGTTTATTTATTGTTTATTTCACAACATCGCCAACAGGCAGTGCCCATTGAGGCTATATCGATGCCATCTGATACCTACCGCTGTCACTTGGATTTGGTAACCACCCGGTGTCGCCT